CTACCTAGGGGTATGCCCAAGGTAGTAGATTATCGGCAGACAGGTGCGCAAGCTACGAACAAGATGATGACGCAAGACAGACACGAGGTTTTATCCAGGTTCGTCCACCGTGAGGGCGTAATACCTACGTCCTGCGTCTGATTTTATTGTTGTTTGTCAATGAGATTGCGATGTGATGTTTTGAGAGGGGTCCCCTGCCCGCCTTATATAGTCTGGGGGCAGGGTTACAGATCTGAAAACTAATCCTAACCGGTTACAATTGCCATAGGTGGCCGGATAAGGATTTCTATTCTAACCGACCAGGATCTTGCTTGATCTCCAAGTCTGCCTTGATTCCTTGCGCGGGACTCCGAGCAGATCCAAGTGATAATAATACAGTAATATATTTTCTATCTCTCGCGAGTGACAGGCAATCACTCGACTTCTACCGGAGTCCTGTAGCATAGCATTCTACACGATCATGTCATACTAGTAAGACTCATAGGATAAAGATATATATGCAAGTGGGTTTCATTCAACTCCTTAAAACTTAATGCACAAATATAATTTAAACTACAGAAAAGTATGGGTTATGCATTGGGGCTTGCCTGGGTAAGATATATATTAAAAAGTTAGTATCTGCATCTTCAGATCATCCACCATCATCTGAATAGAAAGCCCATTGCATCATCTCCTAGAGAGAATACCATTACACCATCTTTGGATTCCCACTCATCCTTCACTTGATCCGTTGATCCATCATCGTACCTATATGATATGCAATGCGCTGCAATGCAAAGACGTAATTAATCGACTGCAATCATGACTCATAAAATACGATTTACGCCTCTCAAGTTAACGGGTTAGTTCTAAAACGACCATACTTAGGCTACATATACACAATGTTGAATAAGATGTTATTTCCCAACAATTATTTTATTCTATTCTATCAATTTAATCTTTATTCGCAATAGGACATCATTATCTCTTTAGCAAACTAATTATTCCGGAGCTACAAAAATTACCGTGAGTACCTAATATTACTAGGAGCCTACTGTAAAAATTTCAGAGCCAACACTACTACCAATTTATCACAACAATTCCTACAAGTTATATTTTTACAATATTAAGTACCTTAACTTAATTATATAGCTTCCAAGAATATTATCAAACTATGTGAACAAAATATACTAATAGGTAGATCATGTTTTTAGGAGACTAACAAAATTGGTTTTATAATTTTTAGATTCCTATACCATTTTATATTGATTTTACAAGTTTACTTTATAAGCTAAATTAGAAATCGCTCTACAAATCAAAAAGGGCCGGCGCAACTAAATTGGCCCAGCAGCCCAGGCGGACGGGCGCGCGGCGGTCCAGTGGGACCGGCGGCCCACACAGATGCGCGGCCCCGGGCGACCTACTACCGGCGAGCACAGCACAAGGTTGGCCCAAGCAGCTAACCGGCGAGCTGCTGTCGGAGCGGGCCGTTCCACGCGGGGCGCGCGGCACCAGGCCCAGGCGCGGCGGACGCGCGGCCCAGCAAGGCTGGCGGTGTGGACGGCCCAGTGGTCGGCAACACGGATGGCCCAGCGACAAGCAGCACAATTTCGCGAAGAGGTCCCTGAGTTCCCAACAATTCACCTCGTAGTATAATAGCGCTATTCACATGAGTGACGTATTTAGCATTGAGAACCCTATATAAACTTTGTGCTTGGACTCATACCCTATTCTTCATCCTCAAAAGCAGAGGGCAGACGGGGAGCACCGGCAGGCGGCGACCTAGCGCTGCGACGGGGGCGCTTCGGCGGCGAGGTGTAGGTGCGAGGCGGGCCAGGGCGGATGACGGCGGGGATGGCCACGCGGTGGTGCAGCACGCTCACGCGCGCATGAGGTGCGCCATGGGCAGCGGCAGGGACGTCAGCGCGCGGGCACGGGAGGAGCCGCGGTGTTCCAGTGCGAGGTGGCTGGGGAGCGGCTGCAGGAAGAAGCAGCAGGGACGCCGGCACCGGCGGACGCAGCCCAGGCGGAGGCGCTGCGGGACGTGGCACGGCGTCCGGGCCAGCAACGGCGGGCGCGGACAAGCAGAGGGCGTGGCGCAGTTCGACCGGGTGCTGCGGGACACGCGAGGCTCGGGCGTGCGGGAGACCATGCGTCGATCGAAGGGGCGGTGGTGCAGCGTGACCGTGGGAGCACGCATGCGCACGCGAATGGCAAAGGGGGGCTCGCGCGTGCTCGAGGAGAGACGGAGCAGCACGGCAACGCGGCTCGGGAGGGGCAGAGCAGTGGGTCCAGCACGGGACCAAGTACGCGCGCGCGTGTGGTGGCCGAGCGACGACGGCGCAGTCGGGCAGGTGCTCGCGCGAGGCGGAGCTGCGCGCGGCGACTGCGGCCTCCATCCGCAGAAGCAAGCAGAGAGACACAGCGCCGAGGGGAGCGTGAGAGCGAGGCGTAGATGCTGGACTGGGTCACGGGGAAAGGAGAGGCAGCGCTCGCGCGCGGTGGCCGAGCGACGGTCGAAGGCGCAGCACGGCGAGGCACTGCGGGCCGGGTGGGTGGAAACGCATAGACACATCACGCTACGCGGGGAAGAAAAAGAAGGGTAGCGCTGCGGAGCGGAAGCAGCAGCAGCGACACGGAGGTGACCCAGCCTGACTTGCCTTGGCGCGACGACTGAACGACAGTGGCAAACATGCAGGCGCAGACACCTCAGTGGCACGGCTCAGCATAGAGGCAGACAGCGTTGCAGCGGCGTAGGACCAGGACACGATGCGAGCGAGTGAGCTGGACTAGCTGGGCAACGACATTTACACGTCTCGGCCATCATTGGTCGCGTATGCATTAAAGGCTTGTGGTGTCCGCGCTATACGGCTTAAAGATGTGCCGCGATGTACCGTAACGAGTTGGATCGGCTTTGGCTGCGAGCGGACGGCGACAGCGGAACAACGGCCGTGTGCAGAGCCCACCACGCAAACTAACGTAGAAGGCAACGCGGGGAAAGCAGCGGCATCACGACGAGGCCATCAGTTCGACGGGACAACAGAGGCAGACAGGGACAAGCTGAGGCAGGCAAGGAGACGCGTGCGGGTTCGGTTACTTCTTAAACACGACGGCAGGACGGCCTGGCCCAACATGACAGGCAAAGCGTGCCCAACGTGGCCGGCAGAGCGTGCCGGTTGGCACGGACAAGACCGCGGCCGCAGAGACAGGCAAGGCAGGCAACGGCATTCATTGCAGCAGAGATGACGCGATGAAACGGGCAGTCGAATGGTGGCGCTTAGTGGGCCGTGGGACGACAAGGCCAGTGACGCAGGCAAAACGACGTGCCGGGGTGCAGAGCCACGACGGGAACGAGACGGTGAATAATTGCCCTACAACGAGTACGTTGTACGCCAGGAAAAATAAATGAAACTGCTGCGCTCTTTCTCTCGTCAGTTCGTGCTTATCAAACTAAACCTATAAGTATAAATATATATATATATCGCTCTATTTATTAATGGATTTTATTTTATTTATAAAAGTTGCTTTTCATGCTTTAAATAAAAAATCCAAGAAACCCGCTTCGAAAAGTTTTCTTATACCTAAATCGCGTTGCTAAATGAGCTCGTAACACCAGGGTGTTACAATTTGTTTCAAATAAGGTAGGGGGTTCATGCATCATGTAATCGACATAAAGCAAAGTGCAAAAGTTAATTTAATTTAAATAAACAATGATAAAACACTAGCAACAGGAATAAGTAAGATCCAAAGAACTCTAAACAAAGAACCATGTAAAGATTGTGTTTTTACAATATACTGGTGCTGGACTTTTCGAGTTAAAATAAACTAGTTATCATTTTTTAAAGATTTATCCAGATTTTAATTATTTTTAAAAAGTACATATACATACGCAAGACCATAGTTCAAACTAGTCGAGGACCAAAATTGTCTAAATTTTGATAGTTCAGTGGCCAAAGGATATTAATTTTGGAGTCTGGTGGACAAAATGGGATTCGACCTACGGTTCGGTGGCCAAAAATAGACTTCTTTTAAAATAATATATTTAAAAAACTAAAATTAGGAATACCAGTAATTTAAGAGTATCATCACAAGAAGACAACGAAAAAGTTACGGAAAATAAGGCAGAAAAAAAACATTGCATGCATGAAAACATGAAGAAAAAGAGTAAAGAACTAACTTAGCTTTTTTTTCTTTTTTTTTCTTTTTTGAAGTGGAAGAACTAGCTTAGCTTAGCCCGCTATCAGAAGGAGTAGAGGAAAGAATTTAGGTCCACACAGGAAATGTGCGCGGGCCTATGCGCAGTGCACACGGGCCACGGCGGTGAGACGAGGGGGTTGAGCGGCGATGGGCTTGGATCCGCAGTCTGCTAGGCGGACCGGATGATTTTGCCGACGCCCGCCTCCTTCATATGGACAGATCCCTCAGAAACCCAGATGTTGTCGGGTGTTAAAGGATAATAACGCCATAATTTCTAGGACAGGTTCAAGGACAAAGTATGCTCTCCCGTAGGATGACAATTTGTTCAAAATGGGTCTCAGAGAGATAATCAATGGTGGTAATACAGAGAAATTGCACTTGATTGCAGGCATCTCCTAATCAACACCTCAGTTTATTTATCTCGAAACATTTACTGTATCCATGGAGTACTCTTATACAAACTGTCTTATTTATGCTACTGAGAGCTTATGACGAAAAGGATTTCACATTGTTTGTTCACGAAAGGACAGTCAAACCCTCTAGAAACAACAAACAAATACTGGACCCGAACCTCAAGCAAAAAATATAGCTGAACAAACACACAGCTTAACAGTTACTACACTGTTCGTTAATTTTCTTCCTACACTGAAGAACTACATATTTTCTGGATTGCAGGTTCCCCCTCGGCTTCTTCGAAATGCTTCCTTGCTTTCTCCCTGAAAATCCGCAACACTACAACTTAGAAACTGGTCACGGGACGAGGAAGACATGGATTTGGGAAGAGCTTACAAAATCACCTGCTACCTGAAAACTGATCCAAGAGCTCATTCCGAAAGAGGCTTCCGAACAAGAAAGAAGTACATTGGCGTGAAGATCTCCTTCCTGTAGTTGTTTATACAACAGTAAGCAAACGCGAGGAAAGATTCAACGGAGATGTAGAGGATAGTACTGGAGTTACTGAAATTTTAGTTATGTGATGTGATCCTTCTTTCTAGCTCAGAAAAAACAGACTTACTTTCCACCCTCTACAAGACCTTCTGCAGCCTTCTCTAGGAAATTAGAGACTCTCTCACTGCCCTGTGGTGCAAGACCAACGTATTCCAAGGCCTTGACCTGAACAATATCGAAAACAGACTCAGTGCCAAATCATAAAGCTTCTATTACTATCCCCTAATTGTCGGTTCTCAACCTGTGATAGAGAATGGCAACTGATTTGATTGTGCAGAACAAATTTGATAGCACAACTAACAAATGAAAAAAGGGCGTACCCAGTGCAGAGAGCTCCCGCTCTGTGCGGGGTCTGGGGACGGGTGTCAGTGCCAAGCCTTACCCTCGCCTGTGCAATGCGAGGAGACCGCGACTCGAACCCGGGACCTTCCGGTCACAGGCGGTAAGACTCTACCACTTGCACCAGGCCCGCCCTTCACAACTAACAAATGAAGTATCTGAAAAAAAAAAAACAAACTATTTATTGGCCTCACCATTGTGTGAGTAATCATGCGTCCCACGGAAGTCAAACGGAAGCTACTCAGCGAAAATCGGCTTGGATCCAAGGGCAAGTACCAAGGTAAAGGGGAATCTTCAGCAAGATCCTTATCCCAAACAACCTGCATGATGAAAAAAGACTTACACATCTACGCACACCGGATAAGCCATGAAACCACATCATATCAAGCAGAAATAAATAACAGAAGTGTATATTGCTTTGTCAATGGTGCATTGACCCCCAGGTGGACTGTAGCAGAACATGATCAGAAAACAGAGGAAAGCATGCTATCTATCTTACCTCAAACCCAGCGTCTTTTACTGCCTGAAGACATTGCCGAGTGCTTCTGATATCTGGCAGGCCATTGCCAAGCTCGATTTCATCCTTGATCCTTTTGTGGGTCGCATTGTTAGGATCATAGTGGTCAGTAATGCACCACTCATACACGGCAAAGCACTGGCCAGGCTTCAACACACGATATATCTCCTTATAGCAACCAACCTTTGCAAGAAAAGTAGCAGTTTAATTTTCCATTACAAGAGGAAACAAAATCATTGATAAATCTCAGTAAAGAAGTGATAATTTAAAAAATTGAAATCTTACCGGATCAGGTGCATGACATGTCGCCTCAATGGCATAAACAGCATCGAAAGTGTTGTCATCGAACGGCATCTTCATGAAGTCTGCCTGCATTACAGACACACAAGTGTTGCCCTTTAGCTTAACAATTAATTCAAAGAACTCCATCTACAGGCATCGAACTTATGTTAAAAAGAATGGCATCTTCACAAAGTCTGCATTTATGATATGGCAAAACGTGGACAATATTCTAAGCTCCATCGAAAAACATCAACTTTGCAACTTATTTATACAGCATTGCAAATGCATAGAGCTATTTGTGTAACAAAATTTGCTCTAAAAAGGCTAATAACATTATTGTTTTCAACACAAATGCAACTGCAAAGGATAATTGGTTAACACCAAAGGTAACTGAAAGAGTAGCAAGAGCTAAAGAAAGGAAGAAATGCGCTAGTGGATAGGCTAACTGTACCTTGACAAAATCACAGGTTCCACTAATTCCTGCTAAACGATTGAGCTCCTGAATGTTGAAACGTCATGTTAGCATATGAGCAACATGATAAGTACTGTAACAGTGAAAGGTGTTGTGTGGTTTCGAATAACCTTTCCCCTGGTTATCTGGTACTCATTGTTATTCAATCCGGTAACTGACGTTGAGCTGCACGAAAACCATTGCATGATTCAGTTGGCTGTGGGTTTTAGCAGAAAAGGGATCGATACTGAAATGAAAGAAGGAAGTGCTTAAATAAAGACCAAGAGAAAGCACTGTCCATCCAAAGCAAATTCACCATAAGTGCTAACTTTTACTGCCTCTGATTTCAAGTGTAGGTTGTTTAGGACATTTACACGGCCTCTAACATGACACTTTGTAAAATATACCATTTTGAATAGTCAAAAATATATATAACGAAAATTTTCATCATGATGAATGTGGTAACCATGTGTTACATATTGATGGTCCAAGTTAAAAAAACAATTGAACAGATAGAATCCTGAAAGGCTAAAACGACCTACATTTCGAATCAGTGGGAGTAAGTGAAAATGATTAATCAACCCTAACACATTGGCCACACATGTTAAAAAGTTACAGTCGAGGACATCACAATTCACAAGCATCAAAGATCTTTGGCTCCAAAGAATCAAACCTAAATCTTGCAATTTCTCTCAGCGGACCACCTATTCCACAGCCCACATCTAAAACCTACAGTTGATAAATGAAAAGGCACACCTCTTGTTAGTGAAGAGCAACAAGAACCATTGTAAATTAAATTTTAACAGGGAAACTGACCTTCATTCCTGGTTTCAAACCAAGTTGCAGGGCAAGAAAATGCTCATGTCGCTTGATGCTTTCGCGTAAGGATTCTCCATTCCATCTAACATAATAAGCATAGTTCAATTACCAAAGGCCATAAATAAGTATAAGTATATAACACTATGTTAACTCTCTAGTTTATTTGGAATAGGCACTAAACATTTCTTTTGTCCTGACAAATGAAGACCAACAATTTACTCTTTATGCAAGGGAGTCCTCACCTGTGAGCAAAGTGGAAGGATTCACCCCAACCATACTCGTAGAAGCTAGTGGCGAGATCATAGTATTTATTAACCTGAAAAATCAGGGAAATGTCAGCTTCTAATATATATCTTATCTCAAGTATGTAAAAATGCCAAGAAGCAAATAGCCTCAACTCCAATGATGGTAAGATTCATCATGAGGCTATGCACAGCAAAAAACATGTTTCAGCACCACTGATCTGTTATACTAAAGATGTACTTCTGCCCGACTTTTAACTATTTTTCTAATAATATATTCTCAAGGGAATCTAGTCAAGTAGAATTGCAAGCTGAGAAACCTTAGATTGCACCAACTGCAGCTAACTAGAGATTCATAGTACAGCTCGAATAAGGGGCATCAAATTTACACACAGCATAAAATTCTCTCTTCAAAAGGTTATATTACCATATCAGTATAGTTGGACTTTCTTGCTTCCTCCTTCCCTCCATAGTATCCATGATATTTCTCATACCTGTAATAAATATTAAAGTAAAAAAAAAGATAACTAAGGAATAATGACATAAGAGATTGTCTAGCAGATTCGCGGTATATGTCCAGGATTCCTCCTCATAATGAGAACCTGCAGCAATCTTGTAAATCACAGTGTTTTCCCAATCTCTCTACAAATGGACGAGTGTCTCTTGAAAAGGGAAAGAACATAAACATCCTTGAACCAGGATGCTAGTTCCATTTAGCCATTTGAACAGTATGTTTGATGCAAAGGAGAAAAAATGAATATCTTGGTGGCTCCTTAATGGCATGTACTATATGAAAGGACAGGTTAAAACCTGGCACATGGTGGACTATTGTGAGCTAATAATGGACCAGAAGCTGTCAATAATGTTCTGTCAATAATGCAACCCATTACATTGCGACAACGAGACTTGGCTACAGAAGTACAGATACAGATAGTGACATAGTAGAGGACATACATCAGATGCTGACATTTTTCTCTACCCAACAATTAAGGGAATAGTAAACAAATCTGCACATATGAAGAACTAATATAGACATCTTGACAGTGACCTGTGACACAAAGTACAGGATTTTAAAAGCCCTCAGCTAAAAGAAAAAGGGACCGGACAGTTGAATTATTGGATATATTACAGCTTGAAAGGTTACGCTAACTAGTAACAAAAACATTTGGGTGAAAAACAAAATGCAGTAACAAATAATTGGCTGCTGTAAAAGAGCATATGAGCCTATGAGGTAAGAAAAAGAAACAAAATACAAATATCAGCTAATGAAGATCCTAACGGAAGAAAATCCTCTAAAAGATTATCCTACCAACAGAAGTAAAAAAAAAAGTATTCCTTTCTTTTAATTTAGACCTACAAAGTACAAATACACAAAGGATACCTGGAAATCAAATTCAAATCTGAAGGCCACAAAAGCAATTGCAATTATTTAAGGAGTAAATGAACTACATTAACTCCTCTTTATTATTCTTATAAACATCGTCAGGAGCTCTGCAATATCCAATAGAACAGAGACATGCCACCCGCAACCGCAAAGGAAACTGGGCAGATCCAGGAACATACTCATCGACGGCCGACTTGACTTCTTCCTTGTCGATCTTCCCACCGAGGCCAGAAGCAAGATCTAGCGCTCCCGACTTGGACATCGTGTAGTGTAGGCGGCCGGGACAGATGAAAATGCACCTGCAACAGTTGCTCTCTGTCAGAGACCAGAGCCCTCCACCCGTTTCTTCAAGATTTTGAACCGTGCCGAATATATGCACTAGGGCTTGTTTAGATTGAAAAAAATTTCAACCCGATGAATAGTAGCACTTTCGTCTTATTTGGTAAATATTGTCCAATCGTGGACCAACTAAGCTCAAAAGATTCATCTCGTGATTTCTAACTAAACTGTGTAATTAGTTATTTTTTTTACCTACATTTAACACTCCATACAAACGGCTAAAAATTGATGTGACGGAGAGAGAGTGAAAAAACTTGGAATTTTGAGGGTATCTAAACAAGACAAGGCCTAGTACTAGTACGTGGACAGATGAAAAGGATGTCACATGTCACTTCTCCTTTTGCACACAAGAAAGGAGAGGAAAGTTTGGGCAAAGCAAGTAACCGAAAGAGTGATGGCGACTGGGCGAGTGGTGTGGGATGGGCTGGTGGCAGGCTGGCAGCAATGCACAGCAGAGAACAAACGGGTGGGACAAGACAAAAAGGAGGCAAATACGTCGTCAGATCCGAAGAAATTTGGGAAACTGTTATCTGCATTCGCGCTCAGCCAAGCGAGGGAATCGTCAGAGAACTGGACGGATCGGGGAGGAAGAAATCAAGAACGGTTTGGGTCTCTGTATGTTCCTATCCACGGCGGAGAAACGATTCTGCAAGGCCAACAACGGGGAATCGATTTCAGACGTAGAGGGGGAGGAAGCTAACCTGTGGGCGGAAGGCGGCGCGCGGCAAGCGGACAATGCTCGCCGGAGCGGGTGGCGGAGGTGCTGACGCGAGGGAGACGACGGGCGGGTCGGGTGGCGGCGTTAACTCTGTCCGAGGTAGAGGGGCTCTTGTTCCGATTCCGACCGACGGAGAGGAGTAGATTGGCACGGCGGTACAGGAGGAAGCCGAGGACGGCTGGACGAGCGGCGCGGGTGTGAGAAGTCTGGAGGGGTCAGTTTGGGGATATCACTCGCTGTGGGACATGTGGTGCGGTGCGGTGCCGGTTTGGTTCGGTCGATTCGAGCGGTGGGGAGGGGAGGGGAGGGCTGATTCATTTCCAGGGAGAATTTTTTTTTATTTCTAAACCTTTTTTTAACTATTTTCAAAGTTGACACTGTATTTTTTTTATTTTTAAATCTAACACTTTTGGCCGCGCCTAGTGCGGCGCGGCAAAATAACGCTGCCGCACCATGCATGACGACGTGGCAGGACCAGTGACGTGGCGACGACCCGGGCGCGGACCGGTGACGTGGCAGGCTCCTAGTAGGTCACACAAGGAATGAACTTATTAGCTGATTTAAAATATTAATTTTCAAATATGAAGGGAGTGAACCTCCTGGTAGGTCACACAAGGAATGTTACTAAGCACATGGTTGGTTGAAGTTGCAGCCATTATCTTTGTTCCTAGGGTACGCACCAAAGGTACTCCCTCCATCCCAAAAAACCTGACGTTTAGGACATGATTGTGCTTACCAAGGAGTCATTAATTAGGGTATAGTTTTCCCTATATGCCCCTATTAAATACTGTTGCGAGCGCTATCCATATGAGAAAGTTTCCTGGCTCATCTGGTTAGTGCGGTGTGGGTGAGCCCTGAGTCCCGAGGTCTTGAGGTCGAAACTCCGTGGACGCATTTTTTTTGCCCGTGGCTTCATTTTGCATGGGTTTGGGTGGGGCGTGGCACGTGCGCGTTGGCTCGCATGGCACTGGTGCGGGTGGGAGCGCGTTTGGTGTTGTTTTGGCGCGTTGGTGCTTGTTTTTGCGCCGTTCGCGCTCGGGTTTGTGCGTGGCCACGTAATTTTTCTGTCCGCGCTCCAAGCATTCTAATTTGGCGCTAATCTGGCCGGTCTCCGGACGCTTCGACTGCTCTCGCTGCTGCTTCATTTAAAACGCCTCGTTCTCCACTGTACCACTCCCATGCTTGTCGTGCTCCACTCTTTTCTTCTCCACTCCTTCTCAAATGCAATGGCTAATCCATTTGATTTGAACGTTCGTTTGGAAGAAGATGACGGTGACGTCGATCTCAATGAGCCAATATTGGAGGACGACACCATAAATGGTAATGTACTACTCAGTTTGTTTGGTTTTTTTGTTTTATATTCAAAGCAAGAACGTGTGGTAACGTTTCTTATTTTCTTTCTTCTTTTTTTGGACAGGGTTCGATTTGAACTTGCCATTAGATGATTTTGGTGCTGTCGATTTCGATTACCTACAAAACCTTGCTGGTAATTTTTTTCTCATTTTGTTCTTTCGTTTTCTCCAGACTTGCAATGAAGTCGATGCTTTCTTTCCCTTTGATCTGAACGCGTTTAGCGGACGATGACGACGGCAACCTTGCCTTGGATCTCAACGAGGCTGAAAATGACGATGGTGACGCCGGCTTTGATCTCGAACGAGCTTTGAAGATGACGAGCATGGCATCGGTAAAATGCTTAAATCTCTTGTTTTCCTCTTCGCATGTACTACAGCATGTTCTTCTTCTCTTGTGCATGACGAGCTAGAACATGCCGTGAGCATCTGTTGTTGAATGTCTTTGTTTTTTTTTCATATATTGAGAGCATGCCGTGAGTACTATTAAAATGGTTGTTTTTTCCTTTTGTTAGAACAACATGCCGATCAAGTAAATCAACCGAAGCATGACTATTCTGATCATGTTAGACAACAAGTGTACCAAGCATTGTTGATGAGAAGTAAGAATGGGAAACTAGGCAAGCAAGATACAACAATTGTTGGTGCTCAATTTGGAGTAAAGATTCGATCAGTTCAGCGCATATGGAAGCAAGGTAAAAACCAACTTGCTCACAACATTCCAGTCATGGTTCCTAATCTAAAGAAAGGTAGAAGTGGCCGTAAAGCAATCCCTCTTGATTTGGAAAAATTTGGGACATTCCTCTCAAGCAAAGAATGACCATAGAAGATGTGTCTAGTAGACTTGGTATTAGCAAATCTAGGATACATAGGTACTTGAAAAAAGGTTTGCTCGGGGACGCCACTCTAGTAGCATAAAACCTTACCTCACCGAGGCTAACAAGAAGACTAGGTTGAAGTGGTGCATTGACATGATTGAGCAAGGTTTAGTTGATGATCCAAAGTTTAAGGATTTGTTTGACTTTGTGTTTATTGATGAGAAATGGTTCTACATCTCTCAAAAATCCGAGAGATACTACTTGCTACCCGAGGAAGATGAACCACATCGTACTTGCAAGAACAAGAATTATATCCCTAGGCTCATGTTTTTGTGTGTTTGTGCTCGGCCAAGATTTAGAAATAGAGAATGTGTGTTTGATGGCAAAATAGGTTGTTTTCCACTAGTCAATTTTGAACAAGCTATTAGACGAAGTGGAAACCGTCTTCGTGGTGCACAAGTTATCAAGCCCATAACTTCAATAACAAGAGATGTGATTAGAGAGTTCATGATAAACAAAGTGCTGCCCGCTATCCGAGCCAAGTGGCCAAGAGAAGATGTGCACAAGCCAATTTTCATACAACAAGATAATGCACCTTCTCATCTAAAAGTGGATGATCCTATTTTTTGTGAGCATGCTAAGCAATATGGGTTTGACATTCGGCTTATTTGTCAACCACCCAATTCACCGGATTTCAACATTCTAGACTTGGGTTTTTTTCGTGCTATTCAAGCTATTCAATACAAGAAGAATGCAAAAACAATGCAAGATTTAATTCCAGCCGTGCAGCAGGTAAATTGATCATCCATTCGATTGTTTAAATTGATCTTGGACAAGTAATGAACTCACTAATTCATTTCTTGAACACATGTTTTGTAGGCATTTATGGAGTACTCTCCACAGAAGGCAAATATGATCTTTGTGACACTACAAACTGTTTTGAAGGAAGCAATGAAGATAAAGGATTGCAACAAAATCAAGATTCCTCACATGAATAAACAAAGACTAGAGAGAGAAGATAGGCTGCCATTGCAAGTCCCTTGTGAAGCTTCTTTGCTAGCGAAGCACTAGCTGCTCTCCTGCATGAAACCATTAGAAGAAGCAAGTTAGCTTTTGCACCAAATTAGATAATGCATGTACTGTATGTTAGCTTTTGCACCTTACTGATCCTGTATGCACTCGTCGTTAGCTTGTGACTCCAGTTGCTTCAGCTTTTGTTCTTCAGTTTCTTCATATTGTATTGTTCGTCCAGCTTCTTCATTACGTGCTCGGGAAGAAGAATTGTGTCACCTCTCATTTGAAGTTCGTGCACATCGTGAATATACACCTCACAATCAAATTTTTCCATCTTATCGCACACCCTTGCTGCGAGATTGTAGTCCTCATGTAAAAGACCTGGCAGGCACACTGCGAAGCCATGACGAGCCAGTAGCATGCTTCGCCGAAGATGCCGCGGCATGGAACGCGTGCCGCAATGAGGATACGGTGCACCACCGTCCCACCTGGTGAGTCCGCGCAGTACCTCGATGGAGTCCGGTAGCACCACGTCGGAGTCCGGCACCTCCTCGACGGAGTCCGGCACCTTTACTCCACGCAAGAGCCGAGGACGGCGGCGACCAAGAGAACGAGGCGTCAGTCCATCGAGCGATTAATGCGTAGTCGAAGGAACCGTTGGCGAGCAGCTCGCCAGGGATAAACCCGTCCTCGCGAGGCCTCGGGAGCCCAGGACGTCAGGTTTCACGAAAATGCTTCGGTTGCCCAGGACGTCAGGTTTTTTGGGATGGAGGGAGTAGCTAGTACTGAACTCCAAGGTCACACCAATCTGACTGCTCAGCAACATTTGTTACGACCAACTTGCAGCCCTTCTATTGTCCTCTGTGTAGTATATAGTACAAAACCAAACAACAATTATTGTGCAAACCTAATCTACTTAAAAACTGGATTGGTTTGTTGATCACCAGTACAATATATATATATTCGCTGGTTGGTGCTGGTGCTGGTTTGGGCTGGCTGGTGCTGGTTTTTTGTGAGAGAAAAACACTGTTGACTGGCTGGTTTAGGCTGGCTAAAACCAACCAGCGAACAGGCTGTATAAGGTGGAGAAACTCCAAAGAGGTCACACCAATCCGACACAGCATTTATAAGGTGGAGAAACCAACAGAAGACGACGTTTGTTATTGTATTGGTGAAGCTCTTGTTGCCGTATTGTTTGGGTGTAGCAGGTGGAGAAATTTGTCTTGTCGTTGAAAGCAAAGCTGGTGATAAATAAATAACTCTAAAGAAGAGTTGGTGGCAGTGCACCATCGTTGTACATATACCCATTGACAGCATGGTGCAATCAGGGCAAACTGATCAGTAACAAAAAAAATGTTACCAAGAAATTTAATTGCGTCTGATGCTTCCTCTCGCTGATAGGCGCTTTTGCATATATATCACCACAACTGGACGAGTTGATGATGGATTAATAAGACTAGTTTGCAGGCGGAGTGCGTGGCAAAACTGATTGGGCTTGCTTATCCATACTGATGATGCCAAGAGGTATATGTTGCGCATGAGATTTCTTTTTTTTCCTGTGTCAGCCTGAGTCCAGGGCCACCAAGAGCCCAAGCTACAGGGTGCCTTGGCACTGCATCTGCTCTGCTTTGTTTCTGCTCTGATCTACGTCCTCTTTGCTCTGTTCACATGATTCGAAGTATTATTAAGCATACATATACATAGATAGGCAGGTCGTGTTCCGTTCCATTCCATTCCATGCATACATACGAGAGGGCACAGGATAGGCTGCTGCTGCAGAGATAGGGAAAGCAGAGGACAGCCCCATGATAATCGACATGAAGGAAGCCGAGTCAGGTCGAGCAAGAATGATTTGCCTGGTTTCATGAACGTCTATCAGGATCAGCCTACCAAATTCGTGCTCCATGTCCGCTCGCTTTCTGCTATTATTGCACTACAAAAGATTTCATCATCACAGATATTCCGTTCAGCACCTGATGTCCATTACTTTAACAAATGTACATAGGCCCATTACTTCAAAACAATAATTATGCAGTGAAGAAATATAGATGCACAAGACTACAAGATCACCAGCAGGGTTTCCAACATCTTCGCTTCTTGTTTCAATGTTTTGTACACAGTCTGGGTATGACCAGTCCCTTCCCCATTGGTAGTAGGCAGAGCAATTGAGAAAACAGAGTATGTGTATTGTTTGGTGCAGATGACGAGCTTCTACCGATCGGGTCTCACTCCCGCGGGCCACTGCAAGCTAGCACCATGGGTCTCTCTCTTCCCTGCATACATTAGTTACACGATCAATGAATAAAGATACTTAAAAATAGAGTGTGTACTAAGCGGTACTGCATAAAGTAGTACGACTAGGTACACTGCCTTGTGAACAAAAAGTAATACTAGTTCCCTGAATATCTACGTGATTTATTTCTGATATGACCGTGCAGCAATTAATCTTCGTCTTCTGCCAAAGTAGTCGATAGTGCATGACTTGATATGGCTAATCTTGTGGTACTCACATGAGCTGCTGCCTGTTAACAAGGACTTGTACAACTTCTCGCTGCATGCCAACTTGAAATACCTTGGGGTTACTGTTGTCAGATATTCCGGAATCGTCTCCATGGTGCTGTCCATCATCTCTATGCTGTCAAGTGACGGGACTCCTTCTAGCACCTCCACATTTGGGCAGTATAAGGTCTCGATTTTCTGCAACTTAGAGAGATCGCTGATCCTTTTCAGCTTGGGGCAGTCGAATACTTTAAGTTGCACGAATGAAGGAAGTTCTCTATATATGTCAGGTTGCTCAGCTTGTACAGGCGCACTTCTCTTAGAGCATGCCTCCTGCTACTGGCGAGCCCTGGTGGAAGACAAGCTAGCTTGCAGCTAAGAATTATGAGCTCCTTGAGAGCAGGCATGGCCATAGCTTCTGTAGTCTCACTCTCGCTCTCCTCCTCCCAGTCCCACTCCTCCCATTCACTCAAGCCATCCAGACGAAGAAATGACAGATTAGGAAATGTTACTACTGATCTAGGAGTGGCGTCTATACCTCCACTCATTGCCAGGGAGGAGGGTGACTGGAACTCAGGCCCAACACTCTTGATGGCAGGTGCGTCAATAATGGCCAGAGTCTCCAAACTAGCAGCCTGTTCGGATGGTTGGCTGGTTCGTGGCTAGATCGTGGATTATTACTGCTGGCTGGTTTGGTGTGAGAGAAAAATATTGTTCCGACTGGAAATTTACGAACGTTTACGAGATCCACCAGCTAACCGAACAGGCTGTAGGGAGCTGGCACAAACCGTCAGGGAGTTGGGTGCAATAATGAAGTTTGTCCATCCTTAAAATCCTCAGGCTCTTAAAAACCCATGTAGCTGGAACCATCATCCAATTTGGCAGCCGGCTACCAAAGTATCCTTCAATGTGTAGATGTCGTATGCTGGATGGAGGGCTGAGCTTCTCAATTACCTCCTCCAAGGCTCGCTGCTGCTGCTACTGCTGCTGCTTGTTGGTTTCATCCCTCAATCCCATGAATCCGGTGCTACTCCAATGTAGTTCCAAGTAATCAAGGTGCTTCTTGCTACTAATCATGGCCATTTTCAACCAAGCTCAACCACAATGGCTGACTCAACAAACTCAGATTGATGACGAAGTTGAACTTGTGAGCCTCTATCTCAATCTTCTCACCAACAATGGCTGACTCAACAAACTCAGATGTCATCTTCTCGCTAGTGGACATCCTCTGCTCCGGGTGGGAGCCTAGATTGATGATGGAGTTGAACTTGTGAGCCTCTTTGTATATGTTGTCCAGCCTCTGGTTGAGCTCCTTGATGCGGCTGCCTATCTTGTGTGCGAACACAGGATTTCGTAGGCAGGAGAGCAATGGCTGGCAGCAACCTGGAGCCTTTTCAACCAAGCTGCTACCTTTCGATTCGCTCTGCTTGTCAGCTTCGATTTGACATAGGTCTAGGATGTCAGTGGCATCATACATGGCGTTCTTGAGCTTCTACACCCATCTTTGCACACTCAATTCAGTGATGTGCTTCCTCTCAGCATCAGCAAGAAAGCATTTGATACTTTCCATGTTGTTCTCTAGCTTCTCAATATCGCCGGATATACCCAGCAACATTTTCACCTCTTCTGTTGCCATGTTGGCTATCAGCTCCATCACCTAGGGTCCCATAGCATCCAAGATGGCGGCCATGGCTCGAGCAAACGTCCGTCCTATACATATACATGTACATCAGAATCACACTTGTTTCGTCGAAACAACCATAGGATCATTTATTCTTTTGTGCCACTCACACTAAATCACATTATACTGGATCCTCATAGTTTGGATTGTGATCATTCTATTTTCAAACTAGATCTATGGGTTGTTTTAAAGACAATAAGGATTAGCAAAGGGATACGAAAATGTTGTAGCTTAAGGGTCAAGACGTTTAGTATGCTTACTTACACCGAAAGGCGTGCAGCAGGGAGTTTAAAGATCAAGACGTTTGTTATACTTACATCAAACGGCGATCAGCAGGGAGTTTAAAAACTAACACAGGAATAGAGCTAGCCTCGCTCTAGTTACCTATTTTGCTCCTTCTTTTTCCTTTTTAGGAAGGATCCATATAGAAATTGCTGTCAACATGTAGATTCGCTACAGATACATTATACAGGCATGATCCTGCATTAATCTGAATACAACAAGCATGCATGTATAGGTAGCTAGCAAAATAAACTTAAAGAATCTCCAAGAGGATCTCTACAAACCTCTTTATCATAAAATTTAGAAGAAAAGAAAAACAAAAACCCAGGCTCCTATAGACTCTCTAAACCACCCTCCATCACTTTTGCAATCTCAAACCACCCTTCTCGATGTCCATCAATAGAGAGGCTACACTGTTCTCTAAATTCAAGATACGGTACTTCTCTCACGAAATTTTCACACAAGAAAAATCATGATAAAGAATTGAAGTATACATATAGAACAAAAGTACAAAACCTAGAGATATGTGGAGGGAATATTTATGGGATGTCTCTCTAAATATAGATATATACATTTTGAAGTTTAGAGAACCTCTTGGAAAAGGATGGACGAACAATGCAAGCAAGTAAGAAGATACTACACTTAGAATGGAAGCAGGCATTACTAGTAGAGTAGTATATAGTTGTGTAGAGGCAAGTGCAGCTCGAGTTCCCAATAATAATAATGGAACCAGCTTGCTGCTGCTATATATATGGCGCACTACAATATATTACTCGTAGATCTACCTTGCTTGATGATTGATAACTGCACTGTTAATTAAATATAATAATAACCTAATTGTGCTTGTTCTAGAAAGCAGAGACATTGCTGGAACTGGAATACCCTATCCTATGCACTACTCGTAGTTGTTCTTTTCCAATGTCCATCGGCAACGCAACGCAGGAATAAACAATTATAATAAGGCTTAAATATTGATATCATCAAGCCATGCTACCCATAGTAGATCTCACATCAAGCTATACCACTAATCTTAAGTAACATAGTGTAGGCTTAAAATGATTGCCTATTTCATCATGATACTTAAGAGTAAAGATTAATACAACCCGTGCGAGAGCACGGGTTGATGGACTAGTTTTCTATTAATGGAAATGAAACAACAATTTGTTTTTTTTTGAACATATAATCTTATTTAAAATATTATTTTTTTAAATGAAGGGAGTAAACCTCCTAGTAGGTCACACAACGAATCATACTAAGCACATGGTAGGGCAAAGATGCTGCCATTATCTTTGAGTACGCACCAAATTAAAGGTAGCTAGTACTACTCCAAAGGGCAGACCAATCCGACTGCTCAGCCGCATTTGTTACGACCAACTTGCAGCTCTTCCACTGTCCTCTATCTACATCTATACATATATCTATATCTATATCTATATACTCTTATAAAGCTATATACTTTTATAAAGCTAAACCCCACTAGAGATTTTCTCTCTTCATGCAAGATGTTCACATCATTCCCCACTAAGTGTTCCACTAACTTACAATCCTTTCATGCAAGTTATCCATATCATCCCTTATTAATTTCAAAAATGTCAACATCGTCTGTATTATGTGCAATACTTTTAATCTCTAATCTATTAACGTAAATTCATTTACAAATGCTATTTGTTTCCTCACTTATTCTTCTATAATGTGATCAAATATTAACTAATCTTTTCCTCCAAACTGTCGATGTTTTACCACCGATAGCCTGCCACGGGGGTACCCGGGGCAGTATGTTCGGGCTTCGGCGTATGCTGAACTCGATGGTAAACGCAAGAGACAGTCGATTTATCCTGGTTCAGGCCCTCGATCGTAGATCGAGTAACGACCCTACGTCTAGTCAGCGTTTGCCTTTTGCGTTGGATTGATTATGAAGTGTTATGTTGTACCCGTCACGGGGTATTCGGGACGGTGATTTGTTCGGAGGGGTATCGGCGTTTGCAGGAACTCGATGGTAAACGGAGGGAGACAACGATTTATACTGGTTCGGCACGCCGGAAAGTCACGGCGCCCTACGTCCAGTGTGGGGTGGATAGTATATTGCGCCCTGCGCTATTTGTTGTGGTTGTGAGTTACATCGGTTATATACATCGCTCATGTGTGTGTGTTAGCTAGGTCTCGGTTATATGCATGCGCTCCCGATCTAGGGACCCCTGCCCTCCTTTATATAGTCTAGAGAGGCGGAGTCCTAGTCGGGTTACAAAGTAGAGATCCTAGTAGGATTATGTGTAACTAGTTCTAGTAGGATTACATGTAGGGAATCCTAGTTGGACTAGGTCTTCTTCTCTCTGATCTTGTGTTGGTCCTTGCCGCACCTTTGTCGGGGTTCTTTTTGATCAATCCGGGTTCTTCGATCTTGTCTTGGTCCTTGCCGCACCTTCTCGGGGTTCTTTTTGATCAATCCGGGTTCTTTTCGATCTTGTCTTGGTCCTTGCCGCACCTTCTCGGGGGTTCTTTTTGATCAATCCGGGTTCTTTTGAGCTTGTCTTGGTTCTTGCCGTACCTTGTCGGGATTCTTTTTTTATCAAACCAGGTTGTTTCGGACTAGCTCTCTCGGGGCGTGTTTTTCCGACGATCTCATGGTACGGATGTAGCTCCTGCATGTTAAACATAAAAATATGTTGTAAATGACATTCCGGATATGAAGTCAGGAGCATGTCCCATATTTGGATAATCAATCAGGGGCGGGCCCCGGCATCATAAAATGCATATAAACTCTTTTTTTTGCGTCTTGCTCTTGTTAGGCCATGCAAATTCCTCAGGTAGTGTCCTGTTACGTTTAAGCACTTGAATCTCTGGCGTATGGTTCAGAGGTTCATGACGTGACCATGTGAGCCAGGCACTCGGTTCGTGACCATCCATGTGAGTAGACAAGCTTCACGGATTAAGGCATGTTCTACCTGAGGAATTCAGCGACCGTTAAGAGAAGACCTAGAGCACTATGTTTGGTCACATGATGATTTTACTTGGAGCACCATGTTTGCTCGCATGATGATTTTTTGTGTCTTCCCTTGCTAGGTCGGTTAATTTCCTGGGTAGTAGCTTGTTATGTTTAAGCACTTGAATCTCGCGTATGGTTCAGAGGTCTATTGACGTGACCACCCGTATGGTTCAGAGGTTCTTTGACGTGACCATCCGTATGGTTCAGAGGTTCATTGACGTGACCATCCATTCGAGAAAACAAGCTTCACGAATTAAGGCTTACCATCCGAGGAAATTAACAACTGTTAAGGGAAGATGATATGGCCACAGAGGCATACGAATAATATCCGAAATGTAAAAAATTAAAGCGTTACTTAGCTTGGTTCATGGCAGAGTTGTCTATTGATGGGGTAAACCAGTTGAGTGGCCGGTATGTCGAGTACTCGGAACAACTCGGAACCTGTCGTCGTGTTCTCTGAAGCCTTTGTCGTGGTCATTGCCGGCGATTAGCGCGTCACAGTGCATCCATCCAAATTTTGCGTGTGTGATGGAGTTGTCATGGTGCCGGATGAAAGTTGATCTTTGTGCTGTGTATGTGTACTAGTTCATATCCATCTTGTAGTCTTGTATGTGTCCGGTAATCAATTTGGATGGCTTACGGTCTTGCTTATGCGTATATATACACACACGCCTTCCTTGTATTTGTTTGTTGTTGTGGCGCCGTGGGATGTCTTGATGTAGTCGAGATGTCTCCGGATATCTGAGTTGATTTCGGATGTCGCGTTCTTGGAGTTGAACTCGGATGTTCTCGGATAAATCCGGTTGTCCTCCGATCCACTCCGTATCCGAGTTGATAATGGCGGGACGTACTCCTTGCCGAAGTTGATGCTAGCTGATCCAACATGTGGTGATGTCGGACTCTTCGTCGTGGCGAGTAGTTGATTGACTCGACTTGTGCCTTGAGTCTACGCAAATTTGAGCGTGCGGTTTCACTTGCTTGCTTGTTGAATCAGGACACCTTGGGCGTGCGTAGAGATCCGTGAGCGAGTTGTTGATCGTGGTTGACGAGAATTGCAGCGTCTTGTTGACAAGGCCAACGAACCATGGCGAATTTTTGATCCGAGGTCCACCGAGCTCTCAACGCATAAGCGCCGAGAACCCCTACCGGCGCGCGCCATTGTCGATGTTTTACCATCGATAGCACTTGCCACGCCGGGGTACCAGGCAATATGTTCGAAGCCGGCGTATCTTGAACTCGATGGTAAGCGCAGAGAGAGTCGATTTATCTCGGTTCGGGCCCTCGATCGTAGATCGAGTAACGACTCACGATCGATCGGCGTTTGCCTTTTGCGTTGGATTGATTATGAAGTGTTATGTTGTACAATTCTTCCCTTCTTTAGGAGCCCCGCCTCCTTTATATAGTCGGAGGCGGAGTCCTAATCGGTTTACAATGAGATTTCCTAGTAGGATTACTTAATAGTTCTATTACTAAGATTACATGGGAAGAATCCTAGTTGAACTAGATCTTCTCTCTCTCTTGCGGGGTATCA